TCACCTTCATGTTGGCGCCGACGCCTCGAGGCCACCTCCAACCCACTCCCGACGCGGATGCCTTGAGGTCACCTCCATGCTGGACGCCGACGCCTCGAGGCCACCTCCAACCCACCGCCGACACTGACCAACCTTGAGGCCACATCCAACCCAGTCGCCGCGGGCCCCTCTCTCATCTCCGATGGCCCCTGCTACCCTCTATTTGTTTTTCTACCCTTCTGTCTCTCATCTCCGCCTGCGAGTCTGCAGCCGTCGCCTACACGCCTTGGTGGAGCCCATCCCCAAATGTCGGCATTGATGCGCAAGCCATGGTGGTAGGCTTTCGATGGTCCGGGACTCTTGAAACGCAAAAGGTAAAAGTCATGTCCCCTTTTGTTGGATGTCCGATTGTGAAGGACGGAGGTCGTGCATGCCGCAGTCGAGAGAATGATATACAACATTGGCATGTAATGCTTGGTAAGCATTGTTTGTGCTTCAACCCGGGATGGTAACCGAGTGCCGGTTCAAGTAATCACAACAGGGGAGTGGGAGGAATGGTCCGACCCCGTGCATGGCGCCGTTCAGTGGTGAAGGACGCCGCACGTGTCATCGTCGCCGAGGGTAACGGGCAAGATGGAGAGACGGTCTTTTGGAGAGGAGTTTTGCGTGGCAAGGTCGGCTGCGGCCGGGAGCGAGGGAAGGCATGCGCGCTCGGGAAAAATAAGTATATTATTTGTTTGCGGGAGATGAAAATTGAGTTTTTTTTTGAAATATTTTTTGATGAGTTGGGAAAAGTAGTTTTCTTTTTTTATTTCAACATAAAGTTTTTTTTCTGTTTTTTGAGAATTGTTTGAGGTAAAGTTTGGAAAAGGGGTTGGTTGAGTAGAAATAGAAAGAAGGAAAGAAAAAAAATTACATGTGTGTACGTACGTTGAGCCCGGAAAAAAAGGCCCAGCCGTCTCTCATTCTCTCCTCCCTCCTTCCTCTGCCTCCCGTGACGAGAGCATCCCCAGCCGCCGCCGCCGCCGCCGCCGCCAGGCGATTCCGGCGAGTTCTGGCGGCCCTCGCCGGCGCGCAGGACACGCACGTGCTCCCCTCGCCACGCTCCTTCCTTCCCTCCGGCCAGATCCGCTCCTCGCGGCCGTGTCCCCTCCCGGCGGCTAGGGTTCCGGCTGCGGCGTCGCCTCCAGCTCCGGCGAGGTGAGCTCTGCCTTCCCTTCCCTGGCCTTGATTCAGATCTCCATCTTCCTTCTCTCCCCGACGCCCGAGCCCGACGACGCCGTGCCGGCGACGGCATCGGCTGTGTGCGCCGTGCGTCGACTACAACCTCTCCGGTGAGGTGAGGAGGTTCGTCCATCTCCTTCCTCTAGCTCCCTTTTCCTCTCTTGTGCTCTGCCATAGTACCTACCAATATATTATATATGCTCTGTTTCATAGCCATGGGTGATTTTGTTTGAGCTTGCCCTGCTGTGCTCTGCTCTGCTCTGTGTTGGAGTCTGATTAGCCACTGTTACCGGCGGAATAATTAAACTTTGATGCCTGTGTGGTTGGTTTACATGTCATCCACGATTTGCACTCAGTTATCTATCTAGTCCATCCCGCGTCGTTAATTTTATTTGCCTGCCCAGTCCGGTAATCTGCTGCCTTTCCCAAGTAGTGCCGTTCATTCAGACAGATTGTTTAGCTCTGATTTGCCATGTGATGTAATGTAATACATTTGTATTATCCTTGCGTTGGGTTTATGTTAATGGTCCCGATCTGACTCAAGGTGTAGACAGTTGGTACTTGTGTCCAAAGAAATAAAGAGAAGAAGCCAGACCAGTCACCATTGTGATTTGGGCATTTTGCTCTTCTTAGTCCATTTAGTTTTGGTCCCCTGTTTTCTCTCTGCTGCTGGCTAAATGGTATCACCCGGTGTCCACTGTAGAACACCATTGTTTACATGATATGCGTCAGATTGTTTGTATATATTTCAGTAACATTACTACTCTGAATGACTTGGTTGTTCTGTTTGCCAAACAGGTCATATTCTACTGCCCCGAGCACATTGAAAGATGGTTAATGCAATCAAGGGGCTGTTCATCTCCTGGTAAGCTCATCAATCCCAACAGGATCCATCCACCATTTTGTTCATTCGACCATCACTCTGCAGCTTTAGTTGATCCGCTGGTTTATCTTTTTTGTTTCCCAGTGATATACCGATGGCTCAGTTCATTGTCAATATGAATGCGTCAATGCCCGCATCGGAGAAGTTCATCATGCACATTCTTGACCCCACACACATGTTCATCCAGCCTAATATGGGAGATTACATCAAAAGTAAGATGGCGGAGTTCAGAGACCAGAACAGCTATGAGAAGCCAACGTGAAGGGCCACCATCCATTACCGCGGTGCCAGCTTCCATCCATTACCGCGGTGCCAGCTTCAAGAAACTCCATCAAGAGATACCTATGTTGATTATCGCTATGTAGAATGGTTATATGCTGAGACTGAACGTCATGTCTCTCTTGTGATGTTCTGTTTCCTACTTCTGAGCCAATTTATGATACAGAGTTCTGCGTCTTATGTATCTTCGGAGTGAGCCTTTAGCTGCTAATATTTCTGGTGATGTTGATATTGATACCGTGTGCTGAATAAAGTACCACCTCTTGTCAAGATGTTCGGTAAGCTAATTACTGGAGCTCTGGATAGAGCCAAGTAGAAGCTTTACTGAAATTGCTTTCCAAAATTATCAGCCCTGTAATGAAAAACCAAGTACATGAAGTAAGAAAGATATATTTGTGTTACAATTTGTAAATTCAAGTCTACAGTTGGTTCAGCTGCCAACAAGAAAATTACCTTCACTATTTTGCTTGGATCTGGCTTGTTTTGACTTTTGTATGGTTTGCAAAAGAGAAATGAGCACATGGCACAGTACGATGAACTTGATGCCCCTCTTTTACTCCAAGTAGCAAGTGTGGCCAGCAGGAGGTAACATTCCCCTGCATCTTTTCAAAAAGGTACTCCCTTTTTTTCTCAAAGTGAAGGCAACAAGCTACTGTTCTGAATCAATGTGGTGAACAGATACAGAAACAATTGTGCTCCTTTACTATGTTCAGCTAGCTGAGGACAGACAAGAAGCACTAACCTGGAAAATGGCCCATGGCAATCTCTTGACACTGATAGTTCATCCTCCCATCAGGTTGCACATGTACAGTTTCCTTCTTCAGTTTAGACTTCATTCAGATATATGCACTAAGATTTTTTGCTTTGAGTGAGGTTCACAGGCACCAATAAGGTTTCCTCTGAACTTTTTGCAGGTGCCACAGACAGAAAGGGATGCTCTCTCTGCACCCAGGATAACATGCTTGGAAGCCAAGTCTCGCCGTCAGAGATCAAAGCTTAAAGCCTTGGCATGATTTAATTTAAACACTCAATGGCAATGGCAATGGCAGGCGTTGCATCTCTCTTTTTCTCCATTTGCCTTTGCTTTGAAGCAATTCAACCGCATGCTGAAACTGAGGCTACAAATACATTGCATGCTCTCTTGTCTCTTCCATCCTGCAACCAACACTTCCATTTCGCCAGTTATCAGTCATGGCTTCCAAGCTCTCGGTTGCTGTTCTTCTCCTCTGCGTCGGAGTGTGCGTGGCTCGCAACAGCGACTTCTCCATCGTCGGCTACTCGGAGGAGGACCTGTCGTCGCACGACAGGCTCATCGAGCTGTTCGAGAAGTGGCTGGCCAAGCACGAGAAGGCGTACGCGAGCTTCGAGGAGAAGCTGCACCGGTTCGAGGTGTTCAAGGACAACCTGAAGCTCATCGACGAGATCAACCGGGAGGTGACCAGCTACTGGCTGGGCCTCAACGAGTTCGCCGACCTCACCCAGGACGAGTTCAAGGCCGCCTACCTCGGCCTCAGCCCTCCTCCGGCTCGCCGGAGCAGCAGCCGGAGCTTCAGGTACGAGGACGTGGCAGCCCACGACTTGCCGAAGGCGGTGGACTGGAGGAAGAAGGGCGCGGTGACGGACGTGAAGAACCAGGGGCAGTGCGGCAGCTGCTGGGCCTTCTCGACGGTGGCGGCCGTGGAGGGGATCAACGCCATCGTGACGGGCAACCTGACGGCGCTGTCGGAGCAGGAGCTCATCGACTGCAGCGTGGACGGCAACAGCGGCTGCAACGGCGGCATGATGGACTACGCCTTCTCCTACATCGCCTCCAGTGGCGGGCTCCACACCGAGGAGGCCTACCCGTACCTCATGGAGGAAGGCAGCTGCGGCGACGGCAAGAAGAGCGAGTCCGAGGCGGTGGTGTCGATCAGCGGCTACGAGGACGTGCCGGCCAAGGACGAGCAGGCGCTGATCAAGGCGCTCGCACACCAGCCCGTGTCCGTCGCCATCGAGGCCTCGGGCAGGCACTTCCAGTTCTACAGCGGGGTAAGCATATAGTACATTTTTTTGTCTGAGCATTTGGCCCTGAAATATGTTTGAAATGAGTTGTAATCTGAAACAATATTTTTGGCTCCTCTAGGGGGTTTTCGACGGTCCGTGTGGCGCGCAGCTGGATCACGGCGTGGCGGCGGTCGGGTACGGGTCGGACAAGGGCAAGGGGCACGACTACATCATCGTGAAGAACTCGTGGGGCGCCAAGTGGGGCGAGAAGGGGTACATCAGGATGAAGAGGGGCACCGGCAAGGGCGAGGGCCTCTGCGGCATCAACAAGATGGCCTCCTACCCAACCAAGGACAACTGATCGATGATGACCTGCTGCTGCTGGCGCCTGCCCATGTTCCAGGCTGAGATGCTGCATCCTGAGGATGGATGCACTGAACCATCCTTGAGAGTCGTCGTTCCTCGTCTTTGCATTTCCCATGTTTTTTTTTTCTTGTGTTGTTTCTTTCGGTTAACGGGACGACGATGGATGGAATAAGAAAAAAAAAGTGTTTTCAAGTTTGCTTTGAGATTGCTGAGCTGGTATGGTTACTGTGTTGAGTGACATGTCTGAGGTAAGGTTAGTGCATGGAGATCAAGGTCTCCTCTTCCTCGGAGACAGTCCATATTCTTCATACCAAACAGTCATCACAAGACATAACCCCAGTGCCAACAAACAACCACAAACACACCTCGACAAGAAAGATCCAATGACCGAGAAGCTCTTGGAGCACCTAAACTTAGGTGCTCCCGTAGCACCTGATATTTTCCCCCTACACCACATCTACCCCAACGATTTATCATCCAAGGACAACAGTACAAAGACAGAATAATTGCGGTTGAGCAGCGAAACCTAGCAGCCTGCACCACATCTGCCAATCCAATGACCTCGAAGAACCATACTGAAGAGTTGTTGTTTTCCGGTTTCTCCCGGTTATTCTCATCCTTCTTGTTCCAAGGACCCTTGTCGTCACCTCACTTCTTTTCATCGTCTTGATTAGCGAGGCACGCAAGGTGTGCTTCTAAGGTTGGCCATCCTTATTACGCTTCTTGTGGTCTTTATTCGGCAAAAGACCCGCAAAGTTTCGTAGACAATCAAAGGTAGAAGCATAGCTATTGGTTTTTATTCTACACTAGCACATATGCTCGTGCGTTGCAACGGGAGAGATATTATTTTTTGGCAACAAGCAACGGGAGAAATAATTGACGTGTCCATCAAAAAATGGTCTCCACAATGGTAGGCGACACATTAAGGAGTTGCGCGCGGTCTTCTCACTGGATTTGTTTGGCCCGTGAAATCTTGATAGTGCCGGGGTTGGTCGGCGTGCCGGTGAGCACCCAACTCGTGCCTCTTTTCCTCCGGGTCCGCCTCCATCTCACAGTTGTGCATGCCTACTCATTTGGGTGATGTGCGGCGACCTTCGGGACACGGTTGCTTCGACAACTCTCCCTACGACTGCGTAACCGGATGGATTACTAACTACAGCGCATAAATCCCGTTTCAATTAGCATAATCAGGAATGAATGCCCCTTCTTTATGACGGTTTATTCACTTTGATTATATTAGCACTCACGTGCCCACATTTTTTTCCTAATTAGAGCCAAACAACATATTCTCTTTTATTGGCATGTGCCCACAATATTTTTAATTTGTAGCCAACCAGGATAGAACAAACGTGCGCTGCTAACCAATGGCCAGCGCGAATACTTAAGAAAATACTATAGCGTCATATTCGAGATATTTTTTGATTTTATTAAAAATTCTAGAACATTCAAAGAAATATGGACTGCCAAATATTCTCGGAAACATTAAATTCCGTATATTTTTGGAAAAACGCAGTCAAAATTTGAAACGGAAATATATTTTGAAATTCACAAACAATATTTTGAAAACATAAACTTTTTATAAAAATACTAACATTTTTATTTAAATTTTGAAAAGGGGAACATTCAGAACAGTTTTAGAAAATACTTTCTTAGACTCAAACATTATTTTGGATTTATTAACATTTCAAAAATAGGAATATTTTTAGATCTGCTACATTTTATTGAATAAATTTGTAAAAAATTCTCAAACAATTATGACAAATAAGGTTTTCCCAAGTGCACGGGCAGGATAATTACTGGGCTCGCTTCGTTGGGCCGGAGCGTGCGTGGCCCAATTTCAGAATTCTTGACAAACCTTTTTTTTTCTAGCGGATAGACACACAAATTTAGTACCATCTGGTATAGAAATAAATCTTTTCAGCGGTGAAAGGATGAAATAATTGGAAAAACACACCTTGCTTTATTAGTATAAGGTATACCCAAGCCTCTATTTCCGCGGGCGTTTTCGCTCTATGGTTAACCCACTTGGCTGAAAATGACCCCTAGGTAATTTTGTAGATGGCACGTGTATTATTTTGGTAAATGGCTGTGTACAAATGAGTGGTGTGCCCAGGTTTTGAATTCAATTTTTTTGAACGTGTGTGCAGGATGCGTTGGTTGGTTCAGCATTTTTCCCTCTGCGTTGACCAGTTTGTACGATAGAACCCATGCCCTGCCACATTCCTCCTGCTTCGTTGCTTCTCTGGCCTTCTATTGGTCATCGGGCTGTGTTCCGGCCGCTGTTGGCCCAATTGATCTGTCGCTTTCTGCTGCTGCTGCAGTTGGCCCAAAGGTTCTCCGGCTTCCTATTCGTTATCAGTCTACGTGTGTGCCGCTGTTGGCCCAGTCGGTGTTCCCTTCATTACGTGGTGTCGTGCTTCTTATTGACATAGCGGTGCGTGCGTCTATGCATGCATTCTGTCGACCCCTATGCATTTGTGCGTGCTTTCATTGGTCGGTGTCGTCGCACTGCGACAAGATGAGATGCGGTGCTGCTTCGACCGTCGTATCCGTATATTTTTGGAAAAACGCAGACAAAATTCGAAACGGAAATATTTTTTGAAATTCACAAACAATATTTTGAAAACATAATCTTTTTATAAAAACACTAACATTTTTGTTTAAATTTTTGAAAAGGGGAACATTCAGAACAGTTTTAGAAAATACTTTCTTAGACTCAAACATTATTTCGGATTTATTAACATTTCACAAAACCAGGAATATTTTTAGAATATGCTACATTTTATTAAAATAAATTTAAAAAAATCTCAAACAATTTTGAAAACACAATATTTGTAAAACAAGAGGGTAGCAGTTTTTAAATGTTGAGCAAACTCCAAAACGAGATTGTTTGAAAAGTTTCAATATTTTTCAAAATAGGAAGACAATTTTGTAATTCTGATTCTTTTTATTATTAGAATAAAAATTGAAATTCTACATTTATTTAAATTGTTACCTCATGGAAAAATAAAAATAAAGAAGGAAAACAAGGAAATAGAAAGGAACCAAAAAAGTGGAAACAGAACACTGAAAACTCAAAAACAGACCGGCCCGGTCTTGGGCGACGTGTGCGTAGCTTCAACTATTTTGTCACCCCATGTGACAAATAAGGTTTTCCCAACTGCATGGGAAGGATAATTACTGGGCTCGCTTCGTTGGGCTGGAGCGTGCGTGGCTCAATTTCGGAATTCTTGACAAACCTTTTTTTTCTAGCGGATAGACGCACACAAATTTAGTACCATCTCGTATAGAAATTAATATTTTCAGCGGTGAAAGGATGAAATAATTGGAGAAACACACCTTGCTTTGTTAGTAGGTATAGATATAGATTTGTAGCAAAAATTTATTTTCCTCTCTAAGGACTTTTTTGGAATCACTATTCCACAACTTTATTTACCAAAATATGCAAATATCGGTTGATGCTTTCTACAGATTTTGTAATCCGTTCAGCTATGAAATCGGAGACAAGGAAAACTTCATAGAAGCAACATCCAATACATCATCCAAATATCCCACATGAACATCTTGTGAGGTGCAGCTTGAACAGGAAGGGAAACCTCATTGATTCTAAAAATGGTTGACACTAAGGCACGAAACTCAGATTACTTTATAATGTGTAAAGTCAATCAATGCTTTCTAGGTCTGTAGCTGGCCATTCCTCTAGTTAATGATGCTAGAGCATGTGACTTTTAGTGCATATTTTCTTTATTAGTATCTCTGGATAGGTCACATGGTTAGAGCTCTATTATGTCTTAACTTATATTGATTCAATTAATCCAAATTATGTAACGTTTTCAATCTATTAGATAGTAATATTATTTTCTTCGATAGTGCAATAGCCATAGTTTTGTATAAGAATAAATTTTGCAAAGTAATGGAAACCGTTTTCTTATATGAAGTTTTTCAGAAATTACTATTCCACCTATTAGGTGTCGTAAAAAGTGATACATGTGAAGCTCATGCATTTTTTTCAGATTAAAAAAAACGAGTACATGATATCACCAAATTGAATAGATCTTCCACCTCTTTTAGTAGGAAAAACAAATACATAGGTGAATAATACATGGATGTGAAATCATTAGTTGTCTCATGATGAAACTGCTAGTAGTTATGAATATTTCATTCTTTCTTAATCCAAAATTGGATAAATAGATCTAATTTGCAGGCGACCCTCCAACCCGGGCTCGCGGACTACCCGGACTTCGCGTCCTGGAGCCTAACTCCCTCGCGAGATTTCTCCGTGGCGTCGGGCTACCATAGGACCGTCATCCAAACCTTCGGACTGGAAGCAGAGACCAGTACTTGCAGGAGCTAAACCTAAGATGACACATCTGGTGACTGGTCATCCGGCAAGGCATCCGAGCTCAGGGTGGACACGGTCCCGGGCCGGTCCGGTCCCGCTCCGAGCCGTCGTTTGGACCGGCCGCCGGCGGTCCGGTCCGGACCGGACCGAGCAGTGCAGTGGTCTTGATTTCAGGGACCGGACCGGCAGACGTGAAGCTCGGTGCGGACCGGCGGTCCTCACGATCCCGGCGATGTCCAGTCACTGCCATGTGGGCCCAGGATGTGTCATGAGGTTCAGTATGCGCGCCGGTGCGGTGCGTTAGGTTGCTTGCTTAGTCTAGGTATTGTGATCCCTCGACGACACCCCTCATCTACTTGTGCCTCCCGTGGTGTTGGTCCTTCGGTCTGCTAGTTAGGTCATGACTTGTCCTGGGCATCCTTTTTCCTTCTCTTGTTAGTCTTTGATGTATGTCAAGTTTTTCTCATCTTCGGTAACCTTGTTACTTGTATGGTTTTCGGCCCGGTTTTCCTCATAAACAGGGTCAATTTGCTTAGGTTTTCGATCTTGTTTCCCTTATAAACTGGATCAGCCAAAGCTTGATTATTTCTTAAATTATGGTCTGGAGAAGCATGCCTCTTGGTGCTCATCAATGCGTCCAAAACAGCTAGTTA